AATTTTCTTTTCTTGTCTTGATTTTCAGATAGTGAATTTTCAGCGGCTTGAGAAGTTTGTTTTTGACAATCGAAAGCAAAGTACCGAAGATAAATTTTTCTTGCTCCCGCGTCGGATATCTTCCTCCATCACAAGATGTTCAGCCAATTGACTCAAGAAGATTCTGCGGTTTTTCACTCCGTAACCATTTTCTGTGTACATAACTTGACCATTAATACCTGCTACGTTGAGTAGGACAGAAAATGAGATAAAATATATATATTTAATTCATAAAAATATTATATCCATAATACTTGCGTCAATGGTCGCGCTGCACCAGAGGGGTGATTTGAGCGGTTCCAACTCTCCATCGACATGTTCGAAGGTCGGTTTTACACGGAAATTTGAGTAATCCAAAGTTAGGAAGATAACATTAGGCTCGACCCCCGGAAACATCTATTGACGGCAAAGGAGGTGGAAGTGCAGTAGGGATGCACCTGTGAGGTGCGTGCGTCTAACGGAAGGTTAAAAGCTAAATTGAATTTTTTAAAAGTTTGTAATATTTATCTGTATGTTTCATTTAATTATTTGCTGTAGTTGCAAATCTTACTCATGAGATCAATTTTTTGAACATCACTTTTAAAACTCTTTAATAAAACTTTCTTAAAAATGTACATCATAAGTTGACATGGGTTTAAACTTTCTTTTAATCCCCAAAATTAGGTCATTTTATATAAACTGTAAATGTAATATGTTGATTAATAAAAACATTAAGTAGTTGGGAAAAAGTTTATACATAATTGAAAGTATGCTGAAGGAATTTTTCCCTAAATTGTGAATTAAGTAGAATTAAAAACCTATTTAAGAATGTCATAAAGTACGTCACATTTTTTTTAACACCTCACAATTATTCATAGAGAAAAACTGATATTAATTAGCAGATCAAATGCAAGCTTAATTTTCTAAGGTGCTAAATAACAAAAAGTGAAATAGTTGTGTATTTTTTAAATAAATAAACTCTCAAAATACTGATTTAAAATATTTATGTATCTATTTGAGAAAATTTCATGATTATTTTAAGTATAAACATTTTAAGCAAAGAAGATTTGGCCGCAAAAAATATTTGTCCTAGTTACAGCACAAAAAAGTCACACTTAATGAGATTGGATTGAGAAAGCACCTGGGGTAATGTAGTTTGTTTTTACTTGAAACCGGCATCAAGTATGTGCATTATTGTGCTTATAAGAAAACAAACAATATTATTCTCTTTTTTTTTTGTGAGAAAACATTTTATATTCTCTTGGGATAGTTCTTTAATTGATTCAAATTATTGTAACAAAAAAGTTTTAGAACATAATCCTCAAAATATATTTATTCCTTTAAAAGTGTATAAAATGCCTTATATATTCCACATAGGAGCCCCATTGTGTTTTGTTGCTTAATAGGATTACATCAAGCCTAAATCTGGTTCGGCCCAATTACCTAATTTAAGTTTGAAATGCCCAATTATCAAGACTAAATCAAGATGACAAACGTAATGTATGTAATTAAGAAAGGCAAACTTACTCTGAATATAATTTAATTCAGATCTTCGTTTTCTGAAAGAAAACAAAATAATTATTAGATATGCAGTATATTTTAGATTCTCAATCGAAGAAAGTTACTTAATATAAGAGTCCTTTTTTTTTTTAAATCAATAATAAAACATACTAATAATTCGGATGTTCTTTTATTATTTTATCTAATGTACAGTGTGTGAAAAAATAATAAAATGCAAATGATCTAATTTTCACGTGCCACATGAAAAGCAAATGATCTAATTTTCACTCTTTGCTGTTTAGTAACCACTATATTTAATGGTCTCTATGCGTTATATGGTAATTATGCAAATTGTTGTTGCGAATTTGAATCTAACTATCCGGATTACAAAATATTGTAATCAAGCTTTTAATACAGGTTTTTTGTTTATCTCATAAGGAACCTATGGTGCAAACTTCAGCTTTCTTACTTCATAGAAAGTTAGTGAATAAGTGAGGTGTCAGACAGTCAGTGAGAGTTTTAAAAAATCTCGAGCACCGCACATCTCCTATTTTTAGTTTGAAATACCCAATTAAAATTATTATTTAACCTTTTAATCTATAAAAAGTATAGATTTTTTAAATTTGAAATCTAAGCCCACAAACATTATTTTTAATTTCAAATATTAGGTTTAAGGTCTTATACCTTTTCATGTAAAAAAGAATCAAAATTCCTAACACAACGAGAAGAAAGAATCCAGCTCCACCACTTGCGTAAACTATTGTGTCCATAGTATCTCCGCCTTCGGTTTGCAAATCTAAAATTGAAAAAGCTAGTGTAAATTCTAACATTATGACTCTAATCATAATTCTACATGACTAAGAGCATTATTCTGTATTATTTTAATTTTTGTATACATTTTGATTTTAAAATTTTTTAGCTGCTATTAAATTTATTTTACATTTCATGTTACATATATGTACTCTTAAATTTTTTTTTCTTTCAAAGCTGTCTGCTTTTTTTTTCTCAGTAACGATATTTTGTTTGTACTCGAATATATCTCACTAAAGTAGGCTCTTGGTAGTTTGATCTTAAAAAAAGGAGGGTAGAAAAAGATATCTTTGAAAACAGAAAAACCATATTGCTTTGAAGAATACAATAAATGTTCGAACTCTGAATAGAATATAATTAAGGTATTTATACCAAAATTACTTAATTTTAATGATAATCTAAGCCAGAAACGTTTTTGGTAAAAAACTTTACAATTTCTAAATGATGAATATGATGTTTCCTACTATGCTGGAATCTAATGGAAATTGAAGGAGATTGTTTATCTATCAGGAAACAGTTCTAAGTAACAGTTAGTTTAAAAATGTCATATTTCAAAAAAAGTATGGCTTATTACTACATTGCTCCCAATTCCTTCAAATGTACTTTTTATTTGAAGGAATTCTATTTAGAATCACTTAAAAATTTCTGTGATATTAGTTATCGTTAATTACTTTTTTTTTTTTTAATTCAGAAAATTAATTCTCAAGAATTAATTCTCAGGAAGAAAAAAAAAAGATCTCTATAAGTTTTCTTTAAAAAAATGATTTGTTTTTGTTTAAAAAGCTTTTCTGAAATATTTTTAGTGGGCTGCCCTGGGATCTGGTTACTGAAGAGAAATATAAAAAGTAATTCCATATTACCTTTATTACACAGCTTTCCGGTATATGTTGCATTACACTCGCACCTAAAACTTTCTAAATCTCTAAAACAGCTTGCATTATTGCATGGATTCAAAGAGCAAGGATCTTGAGCTGGAAAAAAAAAGAAAAAGATTAAACAGTGGTAAATCAGATAAAATTTCTAATATCTTTAGTTTTTTGATCAAGCAAAAATTTCGAACATATCTAAAATAATTGTATATTCATAAATTTTTTTTTCTGCACAAGCCGGTGTTAAACTAAGCGAGATATTCACGTGTAAAATTTGTATTTTACACATTATTTCATTTTTTATTACCTACAGGGTCATTATAAAAATAAATTTAGCATATGATCCCCTAGAAAATATACCGTTTGCGATTGTGCATTATAATTATCCACTTATTTATGCGCTTAAGAATAATGTTAAAAGCAATTATTAGAGTTATGACCACAGAATTCTGACATTTTCAAATGGCACCATCTAATTTTTTATCGACACGTGATTCCCACAATAAAAACTTAAAATGACTATATTTTTGAAATAAAAACACAGTGCCGCTAGGCAGAGATGAAGAGCGAAAAAATAAGTTATAAATTATCGGCTGGTCAGTTGTCATCTCCATTGAACGTGCTCCCACAGACGCAAGAAGAAAGCCTATATTGCTTTCTTTACATTTGTCGAGGATTGCCTCTACTCATTTAAATATTTTCTTTCTCCAAGGTTAGTTGCCATTTGAAAATGAGAAATTCCTGTTT